ATCCTGAGAGAGGGAGAGAAGAGGAATCGATTAAAGAAAGGTACGTTCGGCATGACAGTGCCGCTTTAAGTTAATGGGTAACATTAGTTATATTGTTACATTTGCACCTGTCAAGGGATGGGATTTATTAAGCATCAAGTGAACTGTCAGTTCTTGAAATTCATGTGTTGGAAGTAGGAAAAATAGGCAAGCAAAAAATCTGAGTGACTGTGACAAAGGCCAAATATTGATGGCTAGACGACTCGGTCAAAGCATCTCTAAAATGGCAAGTCATGTGGTGTATTCCTGATATGGAGAGCAAACAATGGGTTGCAAGAGTATTCTGAGAACGGACAGCAGCTAAAATAGCCTGCCCTTCGGTGGGTCCCCGCTCAGAACTCATGCTGGTTTTAGCTCAATTTGTGCCATTACAGAGAGAACATATCTGAAGCATATCAGACTGGTCCCACCCATACGGGCAGTCCAGACCCGAAATGCCAGCAAGTTCTCTCTGCACGAGAGATACAGCAACCCCAGATGATCGTTTCAGCCTTGTTAGGCATCGTCAGTGAGGCATAGCTGATATCTCTCTAGGCACCGTGAGCAAGGGGTCCACGTCTGGATTACCCTTTAGACTAATGGAGAGCAAACAATGGGTCGCAAGAGTATTCTGAGAACGGACAGCAGCTAAAATAGCCTGCCCTTCGGTGGGTCCCCGCTCAGAACTCATGCTGGTTTTAGCTCAACTTGTGCCATTACAGAGAGAACATATCTGAAGCATATCAGACTGGTCCCACCCATACGGGCAGTCCAGACCCGAAATGCCAGCAAGTTCTCTCTGCACGAGAGATACAGCAACCCCAGACGATCGTTTCAGCCTTGTTAGGCATCGTCAGTGAGGCATAGCTGATATCTCTCTAGGCACCGTGAGCAAGGGGTCCACGTCTGGATTACCCTTTAAACTAATGGAGAGCAAAAATGGGTCGCAAGAGTATTCTGAGAACGGACAGCAGCTAAAATAGCCTGCCCTTCGGTGGGTCCCCGCTCAGAACTCAAGCTGGTTTTAGCTCAACTTGTGCCATTACAGAGAGAACATATCTGAAGCATATCAGACTGGTCCCACCCATACGGGCAGTCCAGATCCGAAATGCCAGCAAGTTCTCTCTGCACGAGAGATACAGCAACCCCAGACGATCGTTTCAGCCTTGTTAGGCATCGTCAGTGAGGCATAGCTGATATCTCTCTAGGCACCGTGAGCAAGGGGTCCACGTCTGGATTACCCTTTAGACTAATGGAGAGCAAACAATGGGTCGCAAGAGTATTCTGAGAACGGACAGCAGCTAAAATAGCCTGCCCTTCGGTGGGTCCCCGCTCAGAACTCATGCTGGTTTTAGCTCAACTTGTGCCATTACAGAGAGAACATATCTGAAGCATATCAGACTGGTCCCACCCATACGGGCAGTCCAGACCCGAAATGCCAGCAAGTTCTCTCTGCACGAGAGATACAGCAACCCCAGACGATCGTTTCAGCCTTGTTAGGCATCGTCAGTGAGGCATAGCTGATATCTCTCTAGGCACCGTGAGCAAGGGGTCCACGTCTGGATTACCCTTTAGACTAATGGAGAGCAAACAATGGGTCGCAAGAGTATTCTGAGAACGGACAGCAGCTAAAATAGCCTGCCCTTCGGTGGGTCCCCTGATATGCAGTGGTTAGTACCTCACAAACATGGTGCAAGGAAGGATAACCGGTTAACCGGCATCAGGTTGATGGGCACTCAAGGCTCAAATTTCCGAACTTAATGCTGGTCAAAATAAAAAAGTGTTAGAACACACAGTGCATTGCAGAACGGTCAGAGTGCTCATGATGACCCCTGACCACAATCAAAAGCACATTCAATAAGGCGAGAGCATCAGAACTGGACCATGGAGCAATGGGAGAAGATTGCCTGGTCTGATAAGTCATGTTTTTTTTTTTTAAATCAAGTGGATGGATAGCTGCAGTGCTGTTCCGTGATGGCAGTGGCCTCTTTCAGCAGGATAATGCACCCTGGCACACTGCAAAAATTGTTCACACTGCAAAAATCCTGTCATTTCCATCTCAAAAACATTGCGCGTATCCGCCCCTACTTGACGCCAGATGCAACTAAGGTGTTGGTCCATTCCACTGTCCTTTCTCGCCTTGACTACTGTAATCCGCTTCTCAGTGGTCTTACGTGCTCCCAACTTGCGCCATTACAGTCCATAATAAATGCGGCGACAAGGCTCATCTTCCTGTCCATCCGCACCTCCCATGCCTCACCCTTCTGTCAGTCCCTACATTGGCTACCTATAAAATATAGAGCTCAATTTAAAATTCTGATTCTTGCTTTCAAATCTCTACATAATGCTGCTCCCACCTATCTATCCTCCCTTATACACAAGTATGTCCCATCTAGGCCCTTACGATCTGCTGAAGATGTACGTCTATCTTCTATCCGTACTCCCACCTCTGATGCTCGCCTTCAAGATTTCTTGAGGGCTGCACCATTCCTGTGGAACTCGCTTCCCTCCTCTGTTAGATGCTCACCCAGTCTCCACTCCTTCAACAAATCGTTAAAAACACACTTCTTCATAAAAGCGTATCAAACTGTTAATAGCTCCTGACTGATTCCTCTTCTCCAACTGTCACTAATCTAATACTATCCTTACCTTTTTGTGTCATTTTACCCCACTCCCTCTAGCATGTAAGCTCATTGAGCAGGGCCCTCAACCCCTCTGTTCCTGTGTGTCCAACTTGTCTGGTTACAACTACATATCTGTTCGTCCACCCATTGTAAAGCGCTGCGGAATTTGACGGCGCTCTATAAATATCATAATAATAATAATAATAATAATAATATAATAGTTTGAGGAACATGACAGAGTTCAAGGCTTTTTTCATGGTCTCCAAATTCCCCAGATCTCAATCCGATTGAGTATCTTTGGGATGTAGTGGAACAAGAAATCCGATTCACAGAGGCCCAACTCGCAACTTGCAGGATCTGCTGCTAATGTCTTGGTGCCAGATACCACAGGACACGAATACAGGTCTTGCACAATTTTAGGCAGATGGCATTAATGTTGTGGCTGATCACGGTTTATATCAATTTTTTTCTTACAAGCTTGGTCTTGTCACTGACATAATGGGAAAGAAAATAACTATAAATTGAAGAGGTATACAAAAGCTAAGAATTGTCAAATGCAGCTAGATTAATTTTCAGCGGTTGCAGGAGCAGGTGTGCAGGACTATGCAGGATACTCCACACCCCTCAAGCACTTTAAACTTGCTGAACAGCTTTATGTGTGAAGAGTGTGTCCTATTTTCTTTATTTTGGAAAAAGTGCAGATTTTAAAATAAATTTACACTTATATATACTGTAGAGCTTACACCACCTGGCTTTTCAAACATGCAACAGGTCCTGTTACTTCCTGGTTTGGCTAGCTTACTTGCACTAAACTCAAGAGACGGTAATTTCCCAGAGCACCTGCCTTGCATATACTTCTCATTGAGCTGCATTTGGTAGTCTGCCATTGGACAGGTGGGGTTTAAAGCAGAGGCTGTAGATTTTGAAAGCTGTTTTATGCTATAAGAAAAGAGCAAAAACACAATAATCGAATAAGTCCCCTAAAGAAAAAGGGGAACTCCCAATTAGTCTGGTAATGATGGTATAAAGGAACGCCAAATAATACAAAAAACTACCTATAAAGTGTCAGAAAAGGAGGTAATAACTACAGGGAAAGCATCTATTTGATATAAGAGGCACTTGATAAAAATGTATCCTGACAAAAGCAGTGACACACTGCAACTTTATTAACTATACTGTAGAGAGGATACAATGTAGCAGTGTCTCCAAAAGGCTTATAACCCTCAAATCCTATGTGGATCAAACTAAGTAACCAAATCTCAATTAAAGCATACTAAATGTGAGGAAAATGAGATATATCACATAGGATGACCCACAAAGAAAACGAAATACATGTAGTACCTTAAAATCTTATTATGGATAAGTGTGCAGGGTAATGAAGGAGACAGTATAGCGTAAAATAAGAAACGAAATCTCTATAAATGAGTAGCTTGTCAACTGTATAGAGAGAGATATATATATTGGGAATAGATAGCGATATAGGCAGTGATTGAGGTAATATAATTCGAGAAAATCCCCTCAGAAAATAAACGCCACTGTTCTAATCCTCTATCTCCTCATAACACTTTCATGGGTGTTCTAACTAAATACTGTCCCCTTAAACTAATTCCCCTACACTAACACAGCTCCATAAAGAGTTAGCATTAAATTAACGAAAAAAACACAAAAGTGAAAAAATATAACGGATTCCCTCGTGCATAGTGAGGTGCTCGAGTGAGTGGAGGGAAATCCTGAAAAAAAAAAAAAAAAACGTCAGGGGCTGATTTATGCTATACCCCCAATTAAAAATTTATCATTAAATACAGGTATGTTTTCATTTGGGGTACATCTACAAACAGTGATTTTCATTTATTTTGCATTTAGCCTTGAAATATTGTTAATGTTTATTGAACTCAAGGTACACTGCATAAACTTCTACTCTTAGGGCTGTGAGTGGGTGCAGGATACTCTATGTACCTTTACCTTTGCAATTATGCAAAGCTGTGTCAGTGATTAGAGTGACTTTATAATCCCCAAGGTTCAAGAATACCCATACAAGAAATTGCTGTGGAAGGGAGTGTGTATTATACTTACCTCTGCTGCACTGCAAGTGTGTATTATACTTACCTCTACTGCACTGCAAGTGTGAATTGTCCAAAATGTAAAGTGAATTTAAAAAAAATTAGGACAAAATGGTCAATTTAAATTTCTCTACTTTTTCCTTTATTGGTTTAAAATTAAAAACACTGTACACTCCCAATATTCCCACTTTTAGGGAATAACCCAGTAAATGAAAAAATCTGTAAACCTTTTTCAACTCATATGGTCACAGTTTATCCTGACTAGTGATGTCGCGAACCGTTCGCGGCGAACTCCGGTCAGCTGACACATCCCTGCCAAGCTCCGGCAGACCCTCCCTCCCAGACCCTCCCACCTCCTGGACAGCATCCATATTGAAGCTGCCTTCAACATGGATGCTGTCCAGGAAGTAAGAGGGTCTGGGAGGGAGGGTCTGCCGGAGATTGGCAGGGATGTGTCAGCTGACCGGAGTTTGCCACGAACAGTCCGTGGCAAACCGTTCGCGGCAAGTTCGCGAACGGTTCGCGACATCACTAATCCTGACTATTTGCCATATGGATTTCAATTTGCTACAATTTAGAGTTTAGTAAGCAAACCCTATTAATATTACATATAATGAAATACAGAATGATTAAATGAATATAAAACAGACTTATGTACAATGCATTTCAGTTTGTTCGGACAAAACAAATCCCTTTTAATATATCTAAACCACCAGGTAGACCAATCATATCAGGAATTGGATCCCTCACAGCAAACCTCTCTGAATACGTAGACCAATACCTACAAAAAATTGTACCTCATCTCAAATCCTACCTCAGAGACTCCACACAGATTTTAAACCTTTTAGCTGATTTTAATTGGACAGAGGATATGGTTTTAGTCACAGCGGACGTCACTTCACTATACACGGTGATCGAACATCTACAAGGATGCGAAGCCATCCAATACTCCCTAGCAGTATACACGGAATTAAAAAATGACCAAATTGATTTTATAATACAGTGCATTGCATTTATTCTTACACACAATTATTTTTGGTGCAATGACTGTTTTTATTTGCAGATAGAGGGTACAGCCATGGGGACAAGATTTGCGCCAAGCTACGCTAATTTATTTATGGGCAAATGGGAAGAGGAATTCATATGGAACGATTGCCCATTTGACGCAAATCTGTCCCTATGGCGTAGGTACATTGATGACTGCTTTTTTATCTGGAAAGGGGATTTGAAATCTCTAGAATTGTTCAAAGACTACCTCAACAATAATCCCTACAATCTGAAATTCACCTTCAACCATTCTCAACAACAGATCGAATTTCTAGACTTAAATGTCTACATTGAAGATGGTGGGATACACACTAAAACATTTAAGAAATCAGTGGATTGTAATAGCTTTATCCCTTTCAATAGCCATCACAAGCACACTTGGTTGAAGAATATCCCATATAATCAATTCAGAAGGATCAGAAGGAACTGCTCCAAAATGGAGACATGTGAGGAACAAATGGAAGAGATGGAGCAGAGATTTAGAACTAAAGGATATCCCATAACCTTACTCACCGAGGCTAAACAAAGAGCAAAGAATATTCCAAGGGAAGATACCCTGAAGAATAGAAATAAAATTATAGATACCTATGAAGCAACACCTGCCTTTATAACTAAATTCAACCATCAATCTCGCAGTATAGAGAAGATTCTAACCAAACATTGGGATATCCTTAGAAATGATCCCACACTCATGAAAATTCTAGATCCCAAACCAAAAATTATTTTTACCAAAGCACCAAATCTCCATCTCCTGTTGGCTCCAACATTAAAAACCTTTCGTAACACACAAAACGAATCAACCAAGAAAAGCTTTAGAAGATGTACGAAATGTTTGGCATGCAAAAATAATCCATCCTTGGAACTAGAGGTCACAAAATTTCAATCCACAACCAACATGGAAGAACATAACTTACAGACCAATATGGATTGCAATACAACAGGAGTGATCTATCTGATCACGTGCCCCTGCTCTAAACAATATGTGGGAAGAACAAAAAGATCTCTAAAAATTAGAGTGACAGAACATATACGCAACATCAAGAGAGGATTACAAACACATAACCTTTCTAAACACTTTCAAGAATTCCATGGAGGAGATTCTACAGGATTGAAGTTCTTACCGATTGAAAAAGTTAATGTACATTGGAGAGGTGGAAATCTTGAAAGGAACCTAGACCAAATTGAGGCAAGATGGATTTTCAATCTGGAGACTCTTGTCCCCAACGGTCTAAATATAGACTTCGAACTTAATGCCTTTTTATAACACCCTTTTTACAACAAATTCTATAAAAACTACCCTTTTTTTTTTTTTTTTTCTGTTCTCCCTTTAATATAGTCACCTTTGAGATTAATTGTACAGGATTATACATTTCATATAACTGGGAGCACTTGGGGACAGTTAATATATGCTTACTCTGTCTTCTACCACATCTCCCATATATGAATATCATTATCTGATACCACTATTCATATACCATATATATATTTGTATGTATGTTAAATACTACTCCTATCACACATTATATTTTTGAGGACACAACTATAATTAGTCTATATACCGCACGCAGAAGATTAATTTCTATTGCACGATCTTCTTCTCACACGTCACACACACACACTTTATGCTCACAGCAAAGATTGATACACATATTAGCATTGAAGGTAAAAATTAACCCCTTCTAAATTTATGTCTAATGTAACTACACCCTTGGAAGTATCCATTTTGGGAGATCATTGTGGTTTCTATTATGTGTTGCACACTCCCTGTGCAACCCCCTTTTTTGATTCGATCAACCTATACATCTACTTATTGTATTCATTCTTATTTTATTATATTTATCTTTCTTTTCCCATAAATCTTCTTTCCCTTATGTCTCCTACTCATATTAGAGACATATATTTCCCACATACATTTTATTAAATACTCGCACGTAAAACCGGTGTTCTATTTTTAAATACATCCATGTATAAACACAATACATGTCATTCTTTATACTATCTGAATGCACCTTATGAACTTTTATACTATGTGATCGTTTTTTAGTCTCTATACACAAAGTATGTGTCCCTTTCATGCATCCGGAAGCCAGTCCTTTTACTCTGTGACCATTTTGTATCTTAATCAATTTTTAACTCACATTGTTTCTGCACCTCTGAGTCCCTTCTCGATATACACTTGAGGGACCTAAATTAAACCAACTATCCCTCTTAGTGAATTATTTCATTTATAGGGTTAAGATTTTTATACATATATCTGTATTATTTTAGATATATCCGTATCTATATCAGTAAATCTACATCCTCATATTTCTAAATTAATTTCTAGATGTACATATGAAAAATTGAACATTAATTAAGTACTTCTATTTTATTCTTGTAATTACGAGCTCTTTTTAATTTGCATGTATAAAGTAATACGAGCTGAACACTGATCAATGTTTTTCAATTGTTTTTAATTGTTTTTAATTGTTTCTAATTGTTTCTAATAGTGATACTGATGTTATCAATTATAATTAGTTGAATGTATATTTAATGAACTTGGATCATTGAATCTTCATCACGTCTCTGATGAAGTGGGGCTGACACCCACGAAACGCGTTAGACACACAGGATACGGACGCAGAAACTTTGTACACCAGCAGCTAACAACATCTCCTTACTGAGAACACGATTTTCAAACATCTGGGGACCGACCGATCGGCAAGCGTACACCTCCCAGAGTGAGGTCTGGGACGCACGCCAACCTCACAGCCGACAGCCAGAGATCACAGTGAGAAGTATACTGTATCCATATCCATCCTGGATGGTCCCTGCGGTTCAGTTAATATTAGGACTGCTGAAGTGCTGGTAATATTCTTGCAACACGTTCCTGATTCTTATTTTTTGATTCTCTTCGTATTTGAACATATTTTTAATGTTATTTTTAATACTGTTATGATTAAATAAATTTTAATTTTATATCAGTTTTAATCACTTTTTATATCACTTTTTTGATT